AATCCAAAAAGAAATACACAAATTCAAAGGATGGAAGACAATATTGCATGCAACAGGATCCTGCAAGAAAAGGAGTAGGTCCAGACAAAGTGGATTTCAAACCAAAACTGATTAGAGAAGGCAAAAAAGGATAGTAAATATTGGTGAAGGGGACAATTTAAGGAACAGATTATAATTATTCAATTATAATGGGGGACCAAAATAGCCCACTATCACAAATGGATCAACTAGAGAAAAAAAAATCCAACAAAGAAATATCAGAGTTGCAAGAAACTTTGAACAAATGGACTTAATAGATTAAATGGAAATAATAGATTATTTCCACACAATAGCAACAGACTACACATTCTTTTCAACAATACATGGAACTTCTCTAAAATATATCATATGCTAGGCAAGAAAGCATGCTTACACAAATGCAAAAGAATCAAAATTATCCCATACATATTATCAGATCATAGTACAATGAAACTAGAAATCAATGGCAAAAGAAACCACAGAAATTATGCAAACACATGCACAGTAAAAGTACACTCTTGAATAATCAATGGGTCATGGAGAAAATTAGACAGTTCTTAGAATAAAGTGATAATGCCATTACAACAAGCAGCAACCTATGGGACTCAGTCCTAAAAGGTAAGTTCATAGCTGTGAATACTCTCATCAGAAAAATAGAGCGAGCCCAAATAAATCAGCTAATGATGCACCTCAAGGTTCTAGAAAAACAAAAATAATCCAAATCCAAAGCTAGTACGAGGAAGGAAATTATAAAGACCAAAGCAGATATTAATGAAATGGAGACTAAAGAAACAAAACAAAGAATGAATGAGATAAAGAATTAGTTCATTGAAAGAATAAACAAAATAGACAAACCCTTAGCCAATCTTTTAAAAAAAAGGAAAGACTCAAATCATTGCAATTAGAAGTTAAAAGTGTACAAGGAAAAACTACAATGAATTCTGCTGAAATTCAAAAGATTATTAGTAACTACTTTGAGCACTTGTACTCCTATAAAATAGAGAATTCAGAATAAACAGATAAATACCTAAATACATATAAACTACTACAGCTGAATCAAGAAGGTAAAGACTATGAATAATCCATAATCAACCAACGAGTTTGAAGAAGTAATTTTATATCTACCAACATAGTAAAGCACAGGTCCTGATGGATTCACTCCCAAATTCTACAAGAATTTTCAGGAAGGTCTAATACCAATACTCCTGAAACTCTGTAATGAAATTGGAAAAGAAAAAGTACTGCCAAAGTCATTCTTGGAAGCTGGTATTAATCTGATTTCAAAACCTGAGATACACTGGTTATGGCTTATATCTAATTGTTCTCCCAAAACCTCATGTGCTTGTGGGTGGAGCTTTGAAGAGCTGGCTGGATCTAGGGTGTGTGAACTGGGATTAAGGATGTGTGGTACTAAATTAGTCCACTCATTGGAATTAGCGTAGTTCTGGGTGTGAGTGGCACCACCCACAATGCTTGTAGCCTGGATGAGATAAACAGGAAAGACAGGCTTGCTGTTTGCTGCTCTTGCTTCCTTCCTGCTTTGCCATGGAATCTTTGTCCTCTGCAATTGTCCTCTGCCGTGCCACCCTGCCTTGGAGCCAGCCTGCTGTGGACTGAAACCACTATAAACTGAGCTGAAATAAACCTTTCCTGGGGCTGGGGATTTAGCTCAGTGGCAAAGCACCTATCTGGCAAGCGCAAGTTCGTGAGTTCGGTTCCCAGTACTGGAAAAAAACCGAAAAAAAAAAAAAAACCAAAAAAAAAAATAAATAAACCTTTCCTTCTTTAACTTTAGGTTTTGGATATTTTGTCTCAGCAATGAGGAAAGTAACTAAGACAACACCCCATCAGAAAAAAGAACTATAGGGACAATGTCTTTAATGAACATTAATGTGAAAATCTGTAACAAAATACTGACAAATAGGATGCAATAAATGACCCAAAAGACCATACAAGATGACCAACAAGGAATCATCCAAGAGTGCAGGATGGTTCAACATATACAAAACAATAAATGTAATTTATCACATAAACAGAAACAAGGACAAAAATCACATGATCATTTCAATAGATCCAGAAAAAGCCTTTGACAAAATCCAACATTGAGGCATGATAAAATTCTTGAAGAAAATAGGTATAAAAGGGTCTCAATCTGATGAAAGCAGTTATGACAAACTAATGACCAACATCTTAATAAATCTGGAGAAGCTAAAAGTTTTGCCTATAAAATCAGGAACAAACAAGGATGTCTGTGGTCACTGGTACTGTTCAATATAGTCCTCAAAGTATTAGCCAGAGTCACAGGCAAGAGAAATAAATGAAAAGGATACACACAGGAAAGGAATATGTCAGTACTGTTTACAGATGACATAATCCTCTACCTAGAAGACTCAAAAAAATTTCACCGGATATTTAGAATTAATAACCAACTTCAGTAGCACAGCAGGACATAAAATCAACACACAGAAATTAATAGTGTTGTTTTGTACTAATAATAAAGTCATAGAGAAAGAAATTACAGAAGCAATTCCTTTCATAATAACATCAAGAAAAATTAAATAGATAGGAATTAACCTACAAGGAAAACTACAATACTCTGAAAAAAGGTGATTGAAGAAGACACCGGAAAATGGAAAGAAATCCCCTATTCCTAATTAGGCAGAACCCATGTCAAAATGGTGGTACTTCCAAAACTGACATATAGATTCAACGCAATCCCAGTCAAAACACCAACGGTATTTATCATAGAACTGGAGAAAACAATCCTAAAATCCATATGGAACCAGAAGAGATCTAGAATAGCAAAAGCAACCCTGGGCAACAAAAGCAAAGCAGGAGGCATCATAATCCCAGACCTCAAAGTTATACTACAAAGCTACTGTGATAAGAACAGGATATTATTGGTAAAAATGAAAACAAACAAACAAAAAGAGATGTGAATCAGTGGAACAGAACAAAGAATGCAGAAGCAACTCTAAGCACATTTAGCTATCTGATCTTTGACAAAGGAACCAAAAACTTGTGCTAGAGATAGGATAGCCTCTTTAACAAGTGACGCTGGGAAAGTAGCTATCCACATGTAGAAGACTGAATCTAAACTCATTTCTCTCACCATGTACTAAAGTAAAATCAAAATGCTCCAAAGGTCTAAGTATTAAAACAGAAATACTAAGTCTGCTGGAAGATAAAATAGGAACAATTCTGGAAGATATAACCTAGGCAAAGTCTTTCTGAACAGAACCCCAACTGTGCAAGATATAACACCAAGAATCAACAAATGGGATCATATCAAATTAAAAAGTTTCTGCACAGCAAAGGAAATAACCAGAAGAGGCAAGAGACAACCTACAGAACGGAAAAAACTTTGCCAGCTATTCCTCAAACAGAGAACTAATATATGATGGGATTTTTTTTCAGACAGGGCTTCACTATGTAGTTAAGGCTGGCTTTGAACTCACTGTGTAGCCAGGCATAGTGGCATATGCCTATAATCTCAGCACTCAGGAGGCTGGAGCAGGACTGTTGCAAGTTCGAGACCGGCCTGTGCTACAAAGTGAACTCAAGGCCAGCCTGAATTGCATAGAGAAACTCTGTCTCAAAAAAAGAAGAAAAAAAACCAGAACTCACTATGTAACCTAGGCTGGCATTGAACTCATAGCAATCCTCTTGTCTCAGCCTCCTGAGTGCTGGGATTACAGGTATAAATTATCATGCACAGCTAAGACTAATATGTAGAATATATAAACAACTCAAAAAAAGTAGACCTCTCAAAATAAAAGACCTAATAAAAAATGAACAACTGAAAGGAATAGACATTTCTCAGAAGGACAAATAGCCAATAAATACATGAAAAATGTTGAACAACATTGGTCATTAGAGAAATGCAAATTGAAACAACACTAAAATTCCATCTTACTGCAGAAAGAAAGGCTATCATCAAGAAATCAGATAATAGGGCTGTGGGAAAAAAAATTTTTACTCTTGGTGAGAATACAAATAAATAGGAATATAATGGAAATCAGTATGGAGCTACCTCAAAAAACTAAAAGAAGAAATTCTGCTTAACCCAAATAGCCCCTTCCTAGGTATACTCCCAAAGAGTTAGTCATTATATTACAGTGACACATGCATATCTATATTTATAGCAGCAAAACTCACAATAGCTAAATATTAAAAGTGGCCTTTATGTCCATCAACAGCTGACTGAATAAAGAAAATGTGTGTACATACACAATGGAGAACTATTCTACCATAAAGAAGAAAAATTGAGTCATTTGTAGGAAAATGAGTGTACCTTAAAACCATAACATTAAGTGAAATAAATCAGAATACAAGCTTAAATAGAATATGGTTTCTCTTTTTTTTTTTTTTTTTTTTTTTTCTCCGGTACCAGGAACCGAACTCACGACCTTATGCTTGCCAGGCAGGCACTTTGCCGCTGAGCTAAATCCCCAGCCCCTGAATATGGTTTCTCTTATATAAGAAATGCAGGGGCTGGGATTTAGCTCAGCAGCACAGAGCTTGCCTGGCAAGTGCAAGGTTGTGAGTTTGATTCCCGGTACTGGAAAAAAAGAAAGAAAGAAAGAAAGAAAGAAAGAAAGAAAGAAAGAAAGAAAGAAAGAAAGAAAGAAAGAAAGAAAGAAAGAAAGAAAGAAAGGAAGAAAGAAAGAAAGAAATCTAAAATATAAATAAAGAGCAATATAGGAAAAAAGAAAATTGGGCAGAGAATGGGGGAATGAGGGAGAAGGAGAGGGAGAAAGGGAGAGGAGGAAAAATGCAAGGAGCAGAGGAGGAAGGGGAAGGGGATGTAAAAAGGAAAAATTTTAAGATAAAAAAAGAAAACCGTATGAACACAAAGAAAGAAGCAATTATTGAAGACCACCATTTCATCAAATGTGTCTGCACTGAGATCATTATTCTTAGTGGCTAACTGTGTTGCTAAAGCTAAAATCCCTTTATTACTCATAAAGAGTTGATCTCACCTGTTGCTAAAGACATTTGTCATGAAATTTTAGGAGAGGCTGCAGTTCAAAAGGTAGTCGGTGTTCCTCTTTCAGTTGGCACCGTTAGGCAAATTGCTGAAATAGCAAAAGATATCAAAACACAATTATTAGAGAGGATTAATGAGTCGCCCTTGTACAAAACCCATGTTGGCGTATCTACTCATATTGACAAATAATAATGCTTGTTTTTGCGCAATGTATTTTTCAGGAAGATGTACATAGGGCTGTATCATGTGCACTTTTATTGCTAACCACCACACAGCTGCAGAACTACTCAAGTCTTTGAGTGATTATATATCAGGAAAATTGAATTGGTCTTTTTGTTTATGCACAAACAGAGAGGCTGCCAGCTTTCTGATTTCACTACTTGGATCAAAGTGGGGACTCCTAAACATGAGTCTATGCACAATGTCCTGCAAAAAAATGTCAACTGGACTTAATAAAGTTTTGCAAGATGTATTAAAATTATCAGTGACATAAAAGTATATGCTCTTAGCTCGCGTGTGTCCATGTAACTCTATGAGGGGGTTGACTTAGAATACCCACACCTTCTCTTATGCACTGAAGTGAGACAGCTTTGTAAGGGTAGAAAACTGACCAGACTTTCTGAGTTATGAGAGCTGCTCCTAACATTTGTTTTAGAAAAATAGTCACAACTGGCAGCACATTTCAGTGACGCAGAATAGGTTGTAAATCTGCCTACTCACATAACATATTCAACTTGCTCAACAAACTCAATTTATTACTTCAAGAAAGGATGACAACTGTATTCACATCAGCAGATAAAGCAGATGCATTCAAAGCCAAACTAGAATTATGGGAACAATGAGTAAAAATTGGGATTTTTGACATGTTTCAAACATTAACAGAGATTTTGAAAGAGACTTCAAAAGGATCTTCTCTCTCCTAGCTGGTGCATGATCACCTAACTCAGCTTTCAAGAGTTAGTATTACTTCCCAACCACAAGCTATCCCCGAGCTGGGAAAGAATGGTTCTGAAACCTATTTTTCAGTAAGTCAGGTGAATCAGTTTTGTCTATGCTAGAAGAAGGTCAGTTGCTTGTGATCACAAGTGCTGGTGGCCTTGAAAGTATTTCTGAGACAGAAAGTATTTCTGAGACAGAAAGTATTTCTGTCTCCACATATTCTGGATTCAAGTTAAGGCAGAATATCTGAAATTTCCACAAATGCACTAAAAAGCAAGCCAGGCGTGGTGGTGCATGCCTATAATCCCAGCACACGGGAGGCTGAGGCAGGAGGATCGTTGGGAGTTCAAGACTGGCCTGGGCTGCAAAGTGAGCTCAAGGCCGGCCTGAACTGCATAGCAAGACCCTGTCTCAAAAAGACAAAAAAAAAAAGCACTAAAAAGCATTCTTCCAGCGACAGCAACCCAAATGAGATTATGGAATAGACAAGACATAAGCAACACACTTTAGGCGTCATTATCGGCCATCACCCCTAGATGGGACTGTGTAGTTGTAGGAAGCAAGCTCAAAACTCCCACTGATTTTGACTTACTGTGAGTTATAGAATTGTTTTGTTACATATTATAATGTAATAATAATAATAGAAAGACAATGTACTATAACTGTAATGTGATTGAATCATCCCCAAACCATCTCCCCTAGTACCCATCCATGGAAAACCTGTCTTCCATGAAACTGACACTTCCTAGTGTCAAAAGGATTCTGGAATACCAACTAAAATAGTTCTTCAAGGGGCTGGGGATTTAGTTCAGCGGCACAGTGTCTGCCTGGCAAGCGCAAGGTTGTGAGTTTGATTCCTGGTACCAGAAAAAAATAAAATAAAATAAAATAAAATGCAATAGTTCTTTGAGGGAAATTTATTAATTTAATATTTTTGGTTATTTTTGAGATAGGATCTTGCTCAGTAGTTAAGGCTGGCCTTAAACTCTCTATTTAGTCTAGACTGGCCTTGAACTCACAGTGATCCTCCTGCCTCAGCCTCCCAAGTGCTGGTGTTACAGGAATTTATTAATTCAGTCCTTAATTTAGGGAAGAAAAAAGGTTGAGAATTAATAAACTATGTGTTCCACTTCAGAAGTTAGGGCAAAAAATAGAAAAAAGAAAATCAAAACAAAGGAAGTCAATAAGTCATAAGTTGAGTATGTCCAGAAATGCAAGGGCAGTTGAACATTAGAAAATACCAAAACATAACTCACCACAGATTAAAGGGGAAAATATGATAATCTCAAGAGGTGCAGAAGTAGTCAGAAGCAGACTGTATAAAACCAGGAGCTAGAAAAATAAGCCCTATATATGTCTATTCAACATTAGTCTGGATTTTCTAATAGGTTCATGAAGACAAGGAAAAGAAGAAAGATTAGAAAAGGAAATGATAGGAGTATTCTTAATTATAATTGTACAAGGCTCTGGAAGAAATATATATTGTATAGCTTGGGATTGATATATACTGTATATGTAAAAATGTTACATATAAAGTCCCTAAGAATCTATAGGCAAATTATTAAATGATAATGAACACCTTAATGATATGGTTCATGACAAGACTATACAGCCAAATATATAGTATTTCTAAGCATCAGCTAAAAATAGAAAACATAATTTTTTAAAAAGCAGTTTATCATAACAACAGAAAAGTACAAGTTATACCACCTAATGAAGTTATGCAAGATCTTTATAGAACACACCCTAAAACCCTAATTTATAAACACCAAACATCTATTATACAGAAAAATATAGAAGAATGTTCAATAGGAACTCTCTATTATTAAGTTGCAAGTTCTTTCCAATTTGATCTATAGATTCAATGTAATTTAATTCCAAATCCCACTGCATTTTCCCCAAGAAACTGACATGATTCTAAAATTTTATGCATAACCAACGTGAAAAATAGAACAAAAGCTCTTGAAAAAAAGTGCAGTAAAAGGTCTGGCCCCATCTTATTTGAAGACCATAATTGTAAAGTTACAAAGATGAAGAAAATGTGGTACTGATGCTGAACTAGACAAATGGATTAATGGATAGTAGAGGTTCTGGAAAAAGATCCACATGTATATATACTCAAGCTTTGATGTGAGAATTCGTATATATTGAGCACCTGGAAAAAATTATAGGGTAGTAACTTTATGCTTTGGGGTAGAAAAGAACACACACACACACACACAAATCAAAAAGCAAAAAAAAAAAAAAAAAAAAAAAAACCACAACATACGTAAAACTGAAGAGACAGACAAGTTTGACTATATTGAAATTATAAGTTTATGTTCTTCAAAAGAACCCGCAAAAGAATTTGAAGACAAACCACAAACCAGTAGTAGATATTTGCAGCACATGTAACTAATGATATATTGGTAAACGCTTATAACCCAGATTTCAAGTGGAAAAAAAACCTATGGTTTATTTGATTAGGTGATTTTCATAGTGGAAATGGCTAAAGGGAATCAGACATGGTGGTGTATCCCTTTGTAACCCAGCTATTGGGGAGGCTGAGACAAGAGAATTGAAAGTTTAAGGGCAACCTGGGCAATTTAGCAAGACTTTGTCTCAAAATAAAATTTTAAAAGGGCTGAGAATATAGTTCAACACTCCTTGGCTTCAATCCCCAGTATCACGCACACACACACAAAAATCATGAAAAGAAATTACACAGCAATAAAATAAATAATTTCTTAAAAATGAGTAAAGGACTACTAGGCATGGTAATACACGATAGTAATCCCAGCACTTTGGGAGGCTGAGGTAGGGGGATTGCAAAAGTTTTGTGAATTAGCAAGACTGGACAGCTTAGTGAATTAGCAAGACTGTCTCAAAATTTGTAAAAAATGTAAAAGGACTGGGGAATCTAGCCCCTGGGTTCAATGCCTAGTACAAAAAGAAAAGGGTAAAAGGCCTGAATGATCATTTTGCAGTAAAGAGCATAAATGAATAATAAAAATATGAAAAGATTATCCACTTCTTTGGCAATCAAATAAATGTAAATTAAGATTATGATATGAAATTATATTTACTCTGCAAATGGACTAAAATTAAGAAATTACTATAGTAAATATTTGCAAAGAGATGAATCAAGGGAAAGTCATAATGCAGTATGATTATCTACTGATGCAACAATCTGAAATACAATTTAGTATTATCTTAAAAAATTGAACGTTTGTTTGCATGTTTTATAATTCAGCAACATGTACTTTCAGGTTTACATTGTATAGGAATTCTTGTATAAGTATCCCAGAAAATACAGACATGGATATTCACAAAGCATTTTTTGTAATAGTGTAAAACAATCCAATGTATTAGTCAGGACTTGTCGAGAGCAGCAGAACCAACAAAAGAAATAGACATAATGAAATTTTATTATAGACATTTACCTACACAACAATGGGAGTTGGCTGTACTCTCTCTGTGAGGCTATTTTCTGCATCAGTGCTGGAGCTACAGTCCCCAGGACAGGCAGCCAGGACAGGAAGTGAGGAAAGCAAAGTCAAGCTGGAACCCACGGTGTGAACTGCAATCTGTGTTGGTGTCTCACCACCTTTACACCTCTATCGCTTTGGGGGGTGGGCAGGGCCTTGCATATGCTGAGCAGTCGTTCTGTCGCGGAGCTACAGCCCAGCCCTCCACTCGCCATTTATCATGGAGTTAAATACACACTTGACCCAAGAGTTGCAAAAAATGAAACAGAAGATCCAGAAGACTCCTCTCCAGTCATGGACCTGCACAGACCTCTTGAGCATGAGAAAAATACTGCCATTCCTGCATTATTGCCTTTCATGTCTGGCACAAAATATCCAAGTTAGTTCGTGTGCTGTTTTCAGAAGAGAAGTTTAAGAGCCCCAGAGAAGTGACTTCTCACCTAGAAACAAATTTTTAAAAATTACCCTTTTGCACCTGAAACTCTTGTCAAGAGAATACATGTCATTATTTCGATCTGGCTACGGGCTATTCCTCCTCTCCAAGGGATATTCCTGACTCTTGTGCTTGTACCTAATATACGAGAGCTTCAATTGCTCTGCAGTAACAGTTGTACCTATTATCCTCCAGAGGAAATTCCTTATTGCATTGCAAATAGATGTGATTTTAGGACTGACTTCCTCTAGAATCATTGTAATATAATCTTACCTAAATTTGAGCACAACATCTAAATATTCATTTTATTTAAATGTGAATTGCTGGCTTTGACCTAGGGCCAAGTTCGCAAAGTTTTATAAAAATTATATACCAGTCTGGTAACCATAATCCATAGCTATTCTGTGACTACTAATCTTGGGATAAAAGAAATCACTGACCGAAGAGAAAAAATAAGTTCCCATAATTCATTTCTTTATTGTTGGCCAGTCACTCAAGAAGAGGCTAAATCTATTACCAAAGTGTAGCATTATATTTACAAATATTTTAAGAAAAGAATAAGTCTTTGGCAATGCACTTATTTTTGAGCAATTACAATGAAACAAATTTCTGGTATTTTAAATCATGTCAGTGAGTGGAAATCCAGTTTCATAATATAACAAATTGGAAAGTAATGACTTAAATTTGTTCTTTTCTCCTAGATAATAAGAAACGGGGAGATCTTATGCAAATGGGAAGAGAACCAAAAAATGGAGGGAGGGGGAAGAAAAGATAGGGTAAGAGGATGAAAACAGAATTGAGGTGTGGTATATACATGAACCAACTCCCTGTGAGGAATGTGTTCATCATGTACTACCACCACGTACTAGTAAAAAATAATTTTTTTAAAAAAATGATCAGTCTACTGTCTGAGTTTAGAACAGTACTCAAGAGGAAAATTGTGCCTTTCACTATAAGGCAAGGGCAGACAAATCTAGGGCGGTGTCAGCCCCAGCTATTCTTTCCCATGTGGAGATTTGCCTTCCAGTGCCAATTTTGAGTAAGTGTTTATTTTCATTAAGAA